GACTAACAAAAACCACCGGTACTGATAATCTGGAGAACCAAATGCTATTCCTGCAGATCGATGCAGTCATGTTACACATTCCTCTTCCAAGTGTTGCTTTTCCCAGGAATGCTACCAGGAAACTGATTGTTATTTTTGGAAACCTACAATAAATGCAAATAGCCAGTTAGTTCCAGGAGTACAGTTCTGTTCCCCTGAAATACACACAATTCCATTTTAGCATTAGTGCTTTAACCACCCACACACCAAAGAACTGTAATAATTACCCTCACCTCACTTCCCAATTCCTTTCCTTCTGGGCAACACTCAAGACACTGATTAACAGCTTTCTGCTCAGGGCCTGTCACCTGTGAAATAGCATTGATCTGGTACCAAGCAAATGCTGAAGTATTGTCAAATTACATCTGTTCCATTTCCCTTGCTATAAGCTATAAAATAAAGTAATAAACCCCTCAAACCCCAGAAATGCCCCAAAAAGGAATGTGGCAGGGTTGCAGATCTCAGACAGGGCAGCTCAGAGCAGCTTATTCCCCACTGGGGAGCCTTTACCACTGTGTTTCCTTAGCCATTAAGAAACCTTATTGAGAAAAGTCACTTGACCCATTTCAATGTTTTGCTTTGCTTCAATTAATCACCACATTTCATTAGCTTAAAGAGTTTAAATGTACTGTACTGTGCTCCAGCCACAGAATCTTTTCTGTAAGGATTTCACCAAAGACAATAGGAACAAAACCACAATAAGCAACACAAGTCAATCTTTATTGAAAACTGAAGTATTAATACATAACAATTCTTGTTACAATAAACGTGCTTTTAAGAATTTAAATCTGAGCTCATCTACTCATTGAATTGCATAAAAAATAAAAAAGTATGAATTTTCACAATTGAACTGGCTCAGAATGGAATCTCCACTCTTGGTGTTGATGCGATAGTTCAATGCAGGAGTGAGTGATGCCTTAAAACTTATTCTGGAAGACAACATTGACCTAAACTTAAAAAAAAAAGTACCAATACAACTGTTCCTAAGACAGTTTTAAAAAAAGTCATTAGAAGGAAACCTGTGTCTATCTCATAACAAACATGGAGAACTATTACTGGGCCTCTTGTACTTCCATTGCATGCACTCACTTTTTCAAATCTTAGACAGGAGGGCAGCCAATAATAGCATTACAATTAAAAAAAACCCCACTAACAAATCCATTCTACTTAAAACAAGTCTGTACAGCAGCCAGCTAAAAAAGCTTTCCCAGTTTGCCTGCTAAGTGCCCAAAAGTCACAACGGTTTAGAAAAGCCACGTTCACTTTCTTGATGTTGAAACTTCAGAGCCCATAAATTGTTTAGAATGCTTTTAAGAATCACCTCACTACCTGTGAAATTCAGATGTTTCAGTGTTATAGTCAATCCACACAAGAGAATGTTTCCTTGTCCCCAGGTAAGCACTGTTCCTCTTCCCTCTACAACACACCCTCAGCACCCCCAGAGGTGCACACAGTCTGCTGAGAGTCCTCACCCCTCTGGAGATCTCAGAACCAATTCAACTCCCGGTGAGCCCTGATGCACAGCCTACCCTACCTCTGCTGCAGGTGTTTCTGCCAAGTGGCATTCTGCCTCCTCACACCGGAGGGTCTCTGCAGGAAGCTTAGAGCTGACACAATACAGGATTAGGAAGCTGACGTTAATTAATGAGAACAATCTGAAGGAGCTTTGAGTGTTCACAGCCAGGGGCACGGCCGAGCTCCTGCAGTGACACCTGCTGCAGAAGGCTGGGCTGAGCCAACTTCCCTATGGAACACTGCACCAGTGCAGCCCAGGCCTGTTCCCACGGAACACAGTGATTCCCTGTGCACAAACACAGCCTAGGGCATCGGTGCTGACCAGCTGCAGCCATGGTCTGTCCTGCCCACAAGCTCCAGCTGAAGCATCACTACTGCTCACACTGCTAGGATGGCAGATTTACAGACGTGGTAGTTACTACTCCTGCTATGAGTTTAAGCCTAGAATTAGGTGGTAGTATGGGATTGCTGTGCCAACCTATCCAAGCAAAACCCAAATGAACAGTGTACAATACTGAGCTGAAGCACTAGGGAGTGATTCCAAGGAGCAGTGCAGCCAGAATGCCCCATGGAGAGCAGTCATGCTGAGCACCCTGGTGCACAGATCTGTACCATCAACTACCCTCAGACAACACTAAGACACGGTGGGACTTAGAGGTGGTGGTGGTTTGGTTCTGTTGGGTTTTTTCTGTGGATGAAGCAATACAAGGAAGAACTTCAACTAAAATAAAGGACTTTTTTCATCTACCACTGCACCTAAGCGTTTAACTTGCATAGTACACTCC